GAATAAGAAGTTATAGTTGGAATTTTCTTTGGGCCTCTAACCAAATAAAGACATGGAGATTTATTATTAATTCGGAATGCTTGGGTTTAGCTTAGGCTTGTCCCACTAGTTCTTTTAACTTAATTTAACAAGTTTCTATTCATCTACACTTTGCCTCAGTGGCTTTTTAACCTTTCTTTCATTCTGTATGTTCTATTTTCCTGCTTTCTCTGGCTGGCTGAATCCTGGTGTCCCCTTGTTATCTCTTTTTCTTTCTTCCTTGAGCCTAAATTCATCCTCCTTCTTACTCTCCCTGCCTGGAAGTTCCACCTATATGTCCTCGCTCGCTATTGGCCATTCAGCTTTTTATTAGACCAATCAGATGCCTTAGGCAGGCAAGGTAAAATAGCAACATATCTTTACATAATTATACATATGCAACACTTCTTTACATAGTTAAACAAATATGCAGCAAAATTTCCCCCTTTTTGTCTAAATAAAAAAGAAAGGTTTTATCTATAACATAATAAGACTATATACAATAAGAGCAATTATCAAGTAAGAATTACATTTACAATATTCAGTCCATTTGCATTTGGCAAATTCAGAAAAAATACTCCATTCTCTATTCTATCTTGGTGAATCCAAAGTCATGTACCTAATTTACTTTTTTATTATAACTTCTGTTACCAACCCAAAATTATCTTTTTAGACCTCAAAACATTTTCTTAGATAAACACTTCAAACTTTTTTGTTTCTCATCCTTATAAACTTTACATCTCTTATGTTTATTTTCTGAATTTGTTAACAAGGAAAACTGTAACTATCTAGTCTTCAACTCCATCAGGGACTCACAAAGGATATAATATTACCTAAGTAAACAGGAAGTACAGAGCAAGCAACTTCCAAAACTGTAGAAATGACAGAAGCAGCTGTTGTCTGGACAGTCACCCAGGGTTCCTCTGCACCATTGGGGCATTCACCTTCAGCCTACAGGGCTAGAATATCTGACAGATCTTTCTGTGAAACAGGAATTTTGAAGGACAGTCCCATCTTGTCCTGGCAAAGTTCAGCAGTTCTTTTCCTTTGTGTCCTGCGTGTCCAATTTGTACAGCATACTGTCAGCAGTCAAGGCAAGGGCAGTTTCTTGCCCAAATAGCTAGTTTTGCCACAATGAAAGCAAATGCCATATGGAGGTTCTTCAACACCCATCATCCTTTTATGAAGTAGATCAGTGCTGCCAGGAACAGATTTGTCTCATGAAAAGCCTTAGGTTGGAGCTGGAGAGATGGCTTAGTGGTTAAGAGCACTGGCTGTTCTTCCAGAGGTCCTGAGTTCAATTCCCAGCAACTACATGGTGGCTCACAACTGTCTGCAATGAGGTCTGGCACCATCTTCTGGCATGTAGGCAGAACACTGTATACATAATAAATAAATCTTAAAAAAAAGAAAAAAAGAAAAGCCTTAGGTTAGTAAACATCTTAAATGCCATACTCTGTAGGTCTCTGAAGCATTTGAAGATCACCTATGTATCTAAAATAGCTGTTTAACCTTGAAAACATACCTAACGTAACTACAAGTTTGATTTTTACAGGTGACTATCTACTAACCTGTATTTCTTTATTATCCTAAATAGTTTGTAATAATAACTTTCAAGGATTAGAAATTTACATTATGTTGTTAAATGAGCTGCATAGGTATAATACCTTAAACAAGAGTAGAAATGTATATACAGTATGTTCTAGCAAAAATAACATTAAATTTGTATCAATATAAAAAATCCATACCAATGTAAAATATTTGAGATGAATAGTTGTCTTTTTATCCTATATTTCTATATCTCCATTAAATAATGACAAACATCCATAACCCACCAAATGACCAAAATGAGTGTTGTGTTCTCTAGACTGCTTCCTGTTGTCTGGGGTGATGGCATCCCCAGAGGGCCCTGAGAAAACTGAGATGATAGTCAAGTCCTAAGGAAACTAGCTATAACATTTGTTGTCCAGTCTGTGTAATGGGAAAGTACAAAGCTTCTCTGAAGTCCTGTGAAGCTGGACCATCTCAACTAGCAGCCTTGATGTTGTTCTGAATGCAGAACTCTGAGGAAACTGCAACAGAAGCACTCTGAAAGGCTGGATCACCTGGGCCACCCATTTTCATTGGTGTCTGGTCCCCTTATTCTGAAAATACATAAACTTTCAAAGGTAACATACATGTCTGCATTAACACAAGTATGGACTACACATTGTATGCAAGCCAGCCAAAGATGTTTGAGCAGGTAAAAGATATCTGTCAACTTTATAAGTTTGTTTGGACTGTATAACCTGTGGGAGTCTGCTGGAAGTCCAGCTCTGACCTGTTCCCACCTTTCGAAGGGCTCTTAGGTGAAGGACACAGGAATAAGAAAATATCAGATAGAAAGAGAGTGCTGGGATTAAAGGCGTGGGCTGCCACCGCCAAAGAACTATCGCCTCCGGCCAGGTGGTGGTGGCCCACACCTTTAATCCCAGCACTTGGGAGGCAGAAGCAGGCAGATCTCTGTGAGTTTGAGGCCAGCCTGGTCTACAGAGTGAGTTCCAGGACAGGCTCCAAATCTACACAGAGAAACCCTGTCTCAAAAACAAAGCAAAACAAAAAAACTATGGCCTCACAGTTAGCCAGACTGCCCTTACATCAGCATCAGTTGTCTACAACACTCAACAGAGGCCTTGAGGCAGTTGTGTAAAGATTGCAGATGATTTCCCAAGCTTCTGAAGACTTAGCCCCACCTGTGTGTTTGACACAGTTGCTACCAGACATTTTGCTGTCATAGGCCCCAAAGAACTGTCTATGAAACTAGTCATTTCCACCTTGACAGGAAGGGAGCCCTTCCCCTAGCGGAAGGACTGCTGTGAACTGGTGCAAGGCCATGATTGGTCAAAACACACACTTCAGTGACTGATTGGTAAACAAACGACTATGATCAGCCCAAGATGAATGACTGGGCCAAATACTCTTTCTTGGCTATATAAGCAGGATGCTTAGCCTCACTTGCTGATCCAGCTTGTCTTAGTCCCTGTTCTATTGCTGTGAAGAGACACCATGACCAAGGCAACTCTTACAAAAAGAAAACATTCAGTTGAGGTCTTGCTTACAGTTTTAGGGTTCAGTCCATTATCATCATGGCTGGGAGAGTGGCATCAGGCAGGCACTGGAAGAGTAGCTGAGAGCTACATCCTGGTCCATGGGCTGAGAGATTGGGCTTGGCATGGGCTTTTGAAACCTCAAAGCCCACCCCCAGTGACACAATTCTGCCATTAAAGCCACACCTCCTAATCCTCCTAATCGTGTCCAGTGGTGCCACTCCCTGGTGACTAATATGAGTCATTGGGGGGGGGGGTTAAGATTTACTTCTAAGGCCGGGCGGTGGTGGTGCATGCCTTTAATCTCAGCACTCGGGAGGCAGAGGCAGGCAGATCTCTGTGAGTTCGAGGCCAGCCTGGGATGCCAAGTGAGTTCCAGGAAAGGTGCAAAGCTACACAGAGAAACCCTGTCTCGAAAAACCAAAAAAAAAAAAAAAAAAAA